GGGGAAAAGGAAGAATATGGATCTAGGTATCTCGACGGTATGACTAACTAGCAATGTCGCTAGTATCTCCTCCGTCCGTAGTTCTCTAGGAATTCCTCTACCTCTCGGCCTTGAATTTCGTAATAAACGTTTTTAAAAGGTATTAACGATCTCAGTCGCGAGTAAAGAATTGTGCGACTTTAATGTACCTCTACATAGCTACATTATCGCAACGATGAATACTTAAGATCCTAGACAGTATTGCGCAACATACCCCACAAGGTTAATTTCGTATCGCATAAAAACGACTATTTAACGGCTACTTTTATAGAGTCAAGATAAAGTAGCCATCAAAAGAGTATCCATATAAAAGTATCCATAAAGTAACGTACAAAGACGTATGATCTTCTGATGCCTTTACACGCCATTTCGAATTCACAGTCGTCAAAGGGGTGAACGTTCCCCGTGTAAGAGGAAACGTTGAAATATTTAATTATTAAGGTATTTACAGCACTTTGAAATCAGTGTGGAGAACCGAGAGTCCGTTCGATTAATAAATTAGAGGAGACGCGGGAAAGGACAAGCAGCTTACAAGAGTTGGGCGTTAAATTCGAGCCTTTTATGTTGAAATCACGATCTCTATCTGCACCCTTCTCTCCCTTTTATACACTTTTATCCGTCGTCTAACGAACCAAACGATCGTCCGGACGAGCTACAGCAGAGTAATTTAAAGTGTAACTCGTCCCGAGCATGTTGCGCCTCCTAACGTGGGCATCGAAACAATGCGCCTGATGGACAATACTTATTAGTTTCGGAGAGGTGGGCGAGTAATTTTCTCCCTCCTTCTTTATGGTGCACGAGTATAAGGTATGAAGCGAGGCCAAGGGAATGCCGCCTACAGCTGTGGCGGACGAGGTGCCGCCGGTCTATCATTGCCGAGGAGGTTACACCGAATCTCTTTGGTGAAAAACATCTGACGTTTCGATCCCACATCTTTCAGTGGTAATAAGATAAAGAGAAGAGAAAACAACCTTCTTAGCGTTAATCGATCCCACCAATTTTGTTATTAATGCGAAAAATGCAAACGCTTCGGCCTCTCGAGGATAAAAGGGCTGGCCATTAAGGAAGGATTCTCCTCCGACGACTTCTCGAAGGATCTACGAGGGATTAACTTTCGTGGGCACAAAGTCGATACCGCCGAACGATAAATCAGATCTTGCCGTTCCGAGAGAGAGAGAGAGAGTGGTATTAACCCTTTACACTTGAGGCCTTTTTCGCTCGGGTGAAACACCAACTCGACGCGATTTTCCGCATATTTGCTGAATTTCTTACAGCTATCTTCAAATGTGATTTCACACATAATTTAATATTTTTTGTATATCTCTATACTTCAAAAAGAAGGACATTTTTGTTAAACATTAAGCAATCTCCGAGATGCATCCTCGACTTGTCGGGAAAAATATCACAGTAATACGTGGTTTGGTGTTTTACACCGGGCTTTACTTGACTAAGAGTAAACTATAACTAACTCTCGAATACAAAGAGTTAAGCCCCTATCGCGTTACGCGGAAAATAGGGCAGCTTGACGAATATTTAGACTGCGACCAGTCGAACCAGTCCCCCCTGGCGGATTCACCTCGGCATGATATAGCTTGCCCGCTGCCGAATCATGAATAAATTTTAACAAGATCGAGCACGCTTGTGATCCTGCAACTTGCCGAATGCCGCTTCTACCTCTACACGCGCATACGCGCATACACGCATACGACACGCATACACGAGCGAGTAAATATATGGATGAAAAAGTTATAAATCAAAGGTCCTAATCAGACCGCTTCATCGAGCCCACTTTTAAGGTAAGTTATGAAAAGAGAGGTGGGCGAGTTTGAATATTGCTCGAATTTCGAGCCAAGGGTCAACTGATTTTACCTTCAATAATTCCCAAGCACGATAATCATTAAAAATGAATAGACGAAAGGGAAACATCTCTCTGGACAATTTCAACTAGCACAGTGTACAACTTGCTCTTAATAAACGACACGATTGCCACGCGTTATCGTTGAAAGACTAAACTTTCGACTTTCTACACTCGCGATGAAAGTTAGTTATGATATTTTTCCATAGGGATGGGACTAATTGAACATGTTTAATAATTCCCCCTCGGTTCTCGCTGGCTATATCAACCGATATCGTAGGCAAATTATTTTCTGCTCTAGCCGGATAAAATAAGTTCGTTAATATCCTTTTATCGAGAAAGCGAAGCAAGTCGAACTAATACGGAATATCTTTCTATCTTTCTTTCTTTTTCCTCGTAAAATCCTACACACAAAGTGTTGGACAGACGCGATGACGTAAGTTGCATTTTACAGAAAAGAAAGGTATAACTAAATGTAAAGAGAGAGAGATAGATAGATAAATAGTGGCGAAACGTTGAGGCGCGTACTCGTTCGCGTTGCAACTTACAGAGAAAACCGCGAGACTGCGTGCTCCCTAGAATATTTATGCAAATCGAGAGCGTAAAATGCTCCTCCACACAATTTACCTCCTCGTTATCCCACGTTCTAGGATTAAATGAAGTCTTCGCCGAGGAAAATCGTTTAATATGCACGCTGTCTTTCTCTTCTCTCTTTATCTGCTTTAAACATAAGTAAGAAAAACTATCGACACTAATTTCAAAGCTTACGCGATCGGTATCTCGAATAAAAAGAGCTCGCGAGTTATCTTGGAAAAGGTAAAAAAGAAAGAAAGAACGGAAAGAGATTGATTCCACGTGCATAACCTTGTCTAGCAGAAAAGCTAATCTATCTGGACGTGTCAGCACGTTCATTCGTAGTACATACCGTGAAAATTGTAGTTCACCCACGTGAGATAAGCCGCACCTTTCGGAAGAAGGAACGAATGAAATGACACGGAAGAAGAACATTTGAAAGAGAAAGAGAAAAGCCTATTTAGTTAGAACCACAAGCGCAGCTACAACAAACGCTTGCTCGATTATTTAGCTACGCTCCAGTAAACGTTTCCAAGAGTACGCTTTGTGACCTATAATGGCGCGTGTTGGAACGCGTGATACAGGGACCTGCCACGCAACGCAAATATAGATGCGACTTCTCCTTTCTCTTTTTTCACGCCGATACCTATTTTCGATATCCCTTCTAAACTTTTCCTCGAGATTTTCGAGAAAAGCCATAATTCAATGGTATTGAGAAAGCAGGCCTCTCTTGCATCAACGGGTTGCATCTGCCCGTGTAAATCCGTGCGAGAAGAAATACGGCTCGATTTTCTGAATGACTGCACGTGTAAGCGCGCGACTACGGAAGCCAAGAAGATACGATCCGCAAATAGTAAAGCTCGAACCGAAAAAGGACGCCGGAAATAGAAAAATGTTTTCCTAACCCAGAGACAAGAATAAATACAACCTATGCATATCCGTAAATATTCACAGAAAAAACTCTGACCAAGTAAGAGAAGAATAATTGTTCATAATGTAAAGTTTTAGTGTTAATGCGTGATGTGTGTGCGCATGAGATACATCGATCGATAATTATTGTAAGATGCGTTTCTTTCTGGAAGAATAAGTGGTGGGGATAAACATACTCTGAGAATGTTCGATATATTATAGATAATTGTTAATTAATCAAAGGAAATGTGTATATATTGTAATCGAGAAACATGTATTTACCTTTTTTTTACCTTTCGATATACGTACCTCTTCGAAATCCACCGTGTTAGACTGGCTCTATGGAAATTTTTTTTATTAAATGTTTATATGACTTTCCATAAAAAGAAATTCTATTTATTTCGAGCTTTAATTGTGTTATACACATGCGCAATGTTCGAGAAGTCATATAAACAACATTTAATAAAAGAACTTTTACAGAGGACATTGACCCAGTTCAACGATGGATTTCGAAGAGGACGGTACTCCGATCATATATTTGGTGTTTTTAAACAACAATAGACACTTCCTTCGATTAATTAACAATTATTTTAATACTCTAATACACTCTACTTATATTTTAAATAGTTTAAACATATATACATTAGATTAAACATTTCATACCTATTAACATACTTTAAATATTAAATAATTTCGATCTAATATTCTTTTTGTCGAAAATTTTACTCTCGAAGTTATCACTGCGCAGAAACGTTGAAACATATATATTTGTGTTGAAACAATTACATAAAAAAGATAAAATTACAGAAATCAGAACGTTATAATCTTAAATTCTCTTTGTTAGGAATATTATTTCCGTTATACACATGTGCGCAACGTTCGCGCGGAAAGTCATTTAATAATTTTATAATTGGTAACTGTGTGTGAAGAAATTTCCAATTAATACTTATTAAGAATATTATTTACGTCACTTAATGGAATAAATTATATGCATTTAAATATACAAAATATTAATATTAACGAATCTCGAATATAAAATAATTGTAATGATATAATTCGGTATATATATAATTTAAAACTTCTAATCGATACTAAGCGAGGATCTAAACAAAAATGAGCACACGATCTACTTTGGCATTTATCGAGTCAGTCTCCTTTCTTATTCTGGCGAGTTAACATTCCAGCTCTCTTCGTCTATATACGCATTCTTAAATAATCCATACTTTCAATTATTTTACATTTTATTCTATATATATTAAACAATTCATAGAGCGTATTATTGTTGTAATCTAATTAACTATTATTTCAGCAATACCACATTTTGATTTAAACATTACCATGTTTAAATAAAAGTCTTTTAATATAGAATTCGAATGTTTTTTCTTATATATGAATTTAGGAATAGAATAAAATTATTTTGAAAATTAAATGAATACTATTTAATTAATATTTTATGTAAAGGGTAACAAATAACACATATACTTCGTAAAATTATTTACGATTATATGTTCTTGTACATATATACAGATCGCTATACAAGTAAAAAGTATATAAAGTCAATGCTTTCTTGTCTTTCTCTAACTATGCTATACTACTGGAAGTATACACAAGACAATACAGTCGATATTTTTAAAGTGATATTTATCAATTGAAATAATAATATAATATTACAATTTAATCATTCTTGTAGCTTATTTAAAAAATGCAAGATATACAACTAAAATGAATATTATCTTTATTAATGATGTTTGTACTTGTCACTGCAACCATTGGAACTAATCTTTATACATCAATCGTTTAATATTTTTCAATCTATGCATGTTTTTAATTAAGCTGCAGCAATTGTCCTTTCTTCTTCTTTTCTTTCTGTATGGTCTTCTATTGCTGGAGGTTTTGATTCCATTGATTTTATACTACTCTCTTCAGCTGCATAAATAGATTTGGATTCTTGTTTTTCTTGCTCGCTTTGCCATTGCACCTTCAAAAAAAAATACAAATTGATATTTAATTGTATCATAAAAATATAATATTTCTTTTACTTGTTCATAAGAGCAAATAAAACAAAATATACCTTTTGTTTATGTTGTCTAATAGCTTCCATACATCTATCTACCACCATTTGCTCTGTTAAGACACCATTTTCAGACGCGTATGCCGCTGCTTGCCATGCAACACCAAGTTTTGCTAATTCTCTACCAGACATTCCTTCTGTTATTTTCGCCATTTTAGTACATAAAGCACCATAGTCAAATTGCGCTACTTTTAATCTTTTCTTGCCTTCGATGGCTGGTTGAAGAACAAATTTATCAAAATAAAGACGAACTAAACGCTCGCGTTCTTCGAAACCTGGAAGATTGAACTCCACCATTTCATCCAATCTATCATTTACTGCCCAATCGAATTGTTCAGGAGTATTTGATGCCAAAACTAACATAAATTTATTACTTTGCTCGCCGGTTCTATATAAGAATGCATTTAACATTGCTCTTAAATCCTCCGATATATGTTCGCTCGATCTTTTTCTTAAGAAAGCATCCGCTTCATCGATAAACAATAAAAGACCTTTTCTAGATGTTGTTGCCCAATCAAAAACTTTATGTATCGCAGTAACACCGTCCTTTCCCAAAGGTGCTAGATCACCGCCCGTCACAATTGCATAATCCATCCCAGAATGTTCTGCTAGCTTTTTAGCAAACATAGTCTTACCAGTACCAGGTGGGCCATGCATCAATATATTTCTATACATTCCACGATTTTGTTTAGTATTTTTCGTAGCTATCGCCACATCGCGTAATCTTTCTTCGAGTTTTGGGGCTAAAACTACACCAGATAAAGCATCGGTTTGCTTATCTTTCAGTTTTTTAATAGCTCGTATAGGATGTCTTACAGTATCCAATACTGTAAATCTAGAAGTTTCACGTACTAAAGATGGCTTTCCTAAACGAGATTCAATATAGCGTGCAGCTATACTGGTTGATCCCTTAGCAGAGTACACGCCAAAAGCTAATAGAGATAAACCACCAGCAGCAGCAAGAATTTTATCCCAATCTTGTAAAAGAGCGTTGGCTCCAGTACCAAGTACCGAACCTGCAGTTCTAAAAGGTATCGTTTATCAATTTAAGTACAAATTTCAGATTCAATTCAGAACACAAAAATAAATGCTTGGTTTATTAAATACTTACTTTATAGATTCTAAGACAGTAATTCTATTTTCTGATGCCTTAAGTCTAATTTGTTCTAAATTAAGATCTTGATTTTCCCTATCAATCTTTGCTTTAGCTTTAAGCTCTGCTTCTAACTTTCTCATTTCATTTTTATGCCTCAAATCCATTTCGTGCTCGATAGTTGCTTTTCTCATAGCTTCTTGTTTAGCTACCGATTCTTCTTGTCTTCTTAAATTTTCATCATTCATTCTTTGTTGCTGCGCTAACTGATCATCGTATCGTTTTCTAGACAACTGATCTTGATACTGAGCTCTTGCTTGATGCTGCCTTGTTTCTTCTTGCAAGGTTTTACGTTTCTCTTCTCCTTCTATGCGTTTTTGATCAACTTTCATTTGTTCAATGGTAGCTTCGTACTTCTTTACTTCTGTTTGCATTTCTGTTTGTTTAGTCACCTCTTGCATTTTTGAAAGTTCCAAAGCTTGAGCAGCATGAGCTAGAACAATCATATCATACCTCATAATATCTCATACCATATAACTACAATTTATAAATTAAAATAAAATTTACTGCGATTTCTTTTTTCTTTTTATAAAACCTATTTTCATTTTTATGGCCATGTGAAATAATTGGAATTAATATTAAAAATTAAATTGTCAAACATTTGCTTTACATGTAACGAGTACATAATAGTTTAAATTGTAAAATATTGAAACATTGCATCATTGTAAACTCATTCATAGAGATTTCATGAATAGTAACATGCTTCTAACTAATGATTGTATTCCCGCTTACGTAACCTAATATAGTATAAGATCAATACGAAAATGAATTAGAAAAGAATAATCTTACAAGATTTTTCAAGTTCTTTGGCAGCTGCAGCCGCTCTTTCCAATGCGCTCGAGTCGAATCTGTAAGCTTCCATTTGAGATTTCATTAAATTTTTCGAATTAGAACCATCTCCACCACCGTCTGAGCCCGATGATGCCGGTGGTTGAATAAATTGAGAGAAATCTTGTGGTGGTTGCGTATTACGATAACCAAGAAGCCACGACATTTTTAATTAAGCACGGAAACTACGAAAATTCTTTAAAGTACACTTTTCTTCTGTTTTTCAAACGTTTAAATTAATATCGTCTAAAAACTGGATGCACCGAACCTCTCACGTGCACTTTACGTGTATGAAACACGAACCATGCAATACTACTAGAAATGAATCGAAACGAACACAGCGATAACAAAGGAACATAGCTGCATATCCTCCTATTGCATAAATCGAGTAACCAATGAACTCGTTGCTTTCAGTTGATATCGTCCAATGACGATATTGCATCATTACAAATGTCGCAAACATTTCCTATCGTTCAATTATTGTCTAATGGCATTTTAATCAATGAATTGTCAATATATATTTCGTGTTTGTGTTATTAAAAATGAAGTTATCGGAAAAATAAAATGTGATTTTGTATAAATACAGAATCCTCTAAAATAAGTAATTTGATATTCCCTGTTGTATTTACTGCGCATCCAACTGCGTCATTCATATTTTCACATTTCCAATTAATCAAGTGAAATGTTTCGTACGCGTTTTATTTAATGTCAACACCTCGTAGGAACGTATTGAAAGTGACAGCTGACGAATGTAACACATTTTCGCATTCTCGATTGTCTGTATACTTCAACTTAACGATTGTTATCGAATCTAAAGTAACAGCAACGGATAATCACGTACATTCTGTTAATACAGTACGTATGATATTAGCAGATAGCAAAAGTATTGCTTTATAAAGTCATTTATTTTCTAATTTTATCCCAAATAAAATATACACTGTGCAATACTATAGATACTTGTATGCAAGTATCAAATACATTGGATATATGTATATTGATATACAGACCTGTCAAATCTATATAATTTTTTTAATTGCATTTTTAATTAAGTTAACATTCGTTCCTAGCACGAATTAATTTGACATATTATATTGTATATATATATATTCTTTTATATTCTGTCATTTTAATATTTTATTAAAATGTATGTGCATATATATATTTGTAGAAAATTATCTTAGAGCAATTCGCTCTATAAGAATTGATCATGGAACAAATGATCGCATTGAGTACACAAAATCCATTATCATTATTGGTTAAATTTGGAATGATGGCTTGGAATAATAGCTGTGGAATTGAAAATTGTTCAGGACATGGCGAATGTCACAATGGCACTTGCTTATGCGAAGTAATATCTCTTTATTATAAATATAACTAATCATTATACTATGTATGATGTGTATACATATATTAACTTCCATTGATGTACGCATATATTTTTTCAGATCCAATTTGATGGACCCGAGTGTCATGTACCAAATTTAAGTTATTACATAGCATTTGCCTCTATTTTCTTCTTATTGGCATTCATATGTCTTATTCAACTTGTCATGTGCATCGTCGCTGAATGGCAAAAAATGAAGGCACCTTCATTTTTGAGAGCTTGCAGAGTTACTACTCAAAAAGTATTATATTTTGTAGTTTTTCTTGCTTCAGTAATACGTGGAGCATACTTTACTTCTCCAGTAAGTGCATCTATTTTTTTTTTTTTTATTTCATCTCTTTGGGGTATTACAATGAATTTAATATTATTTTCATTCTTTAGACTGCATTTAAAGAAGGTTGGTCGAGAAGTTTGTCGTCAGCATATTATCCTCTTTTATTAAGCGGATCATCCTTAATAGTATGTTTTTGGGCCGAGGTCTTTCACCTAAGAGATGTTCAATGGGACAAACCACAATTTTTATCTAAATCTTTTTTGGCTTTTGTGGTATTTAATATAATAACATATTCATTATTATTAGCCGAATTTGTTACTGCACAAATAAATTCTCAAGAAGATCAAGTAAGTTACTTATTAAGTTTTTCATATATAAATGTTATATTCAACATGACTTTTAATACTTACATGCAACAACAATTATATTACATCGGTTATTACATCTATATTAGAACATTTTCCAGAGCTACTACACCCATATTTTTAATGGATGCTATGCAGTACTTTTATTCATTGTTGTTATATTTTTTTTGATATATGGCGTAGAAGTATACTTTAAGGTATGTTGATTCTATTAATATATTTGAGACAAATAATTTTGATTGTATTTATCTCTTTATCATGTTTTTATCTTTTAGCATGATTAAGATATGTCATATCGTTTTGAAGACTAGAAAAATAATTAATGCAACTTTATTTTATCAGGTTCGAGGTGGATTTCTAAACGAGTACCAGGTTGCTTCTATTGCAACAAATATACGTACTCCGGATGAATCAAAATTACAAAGTGAAGATCAAGTTACAGCTAAATTATTTGATCCTCAACCATCTACATCTGATATTCTACGTATGCAACAACAAGTGAATACTTCTCAATTACATCAATCTAGATTTGGTTTACTATCTCAAGCATTCATGTTGTTTATCGTGGTTGGATTTTTATTTAGCGAAACACTCAGCGAATTTTGGAAAACTAAGTAAGAAAAATAAGAAATAATATAATAAAACCAATAGAATGTAAACCAATTGACCTAATTGATGTATTAAATATTAAATATTTCAGAGTTCCCTTATATAGCAGAAATTGGCACGATGTGGTATTTCGTGTAATAGAAGTTGGTGTAGCATTATGGTTTCCTTGCGTTTTATGGAATTGTATGAGGTATGTTCTACTTAAGAAATGTCTTCTACTACCAATCGTTTATGTTCTTTTCTTATTTTATTTTTGTTCCATTTCTTATAGTCCAGAACAATTATGGATTTTGAATCCAAAACGAATTTTAAAAAGGCTAGATCTTGATCAAACAAAACATATGAAAGAAATAGAGTTGCAAGATAAGTGTGCAGCGCAAGAATCTGCTCTTACTGATGGAACATCAATCAATAGTAAAGATTGTTGGATATGCTATGACAATGATAGACATGATGTTGGTCCTCTAATACAGCCGTGTCAGTGTAGGGGCGATGTAAGTGCAGTCCATCATGATTGCCTGCGTAGATGGCTTGTAGAGGTATGTTCATATGTGTAATTAGTTTTTCCTTTATTCAATTTTTTTTTACCTATGAATAATAAATTCTTTTTAATATATCTTTTTTGTTAGAGTTCTGTCAATGCAGATAGTCTTACTTGCAAGATATGTGGTACCAACTATAATGTGGAACATGCTAGCCGTTTGGATTGGCAAAATAGTTTAACTACAAAACATTGCCTTCAAACTATTGCCATTGTTACTACAATGTGTGCATCTTCTGCAGCTGCATGGACAGTTATACAACTTGTAGAGGGTCCTATTATTAGAATGCTTGCAGCTGGTGCTGCTTTGTTAATAATGTATGTTTGTATAAGGTAAGTTTATTAAGAGATAATATATTTTATTTAAATACATCTATTCTATAATTGTTGACAATTATTATAATCGTTTTTATAATAATTTCTTGTTAGATTTTTGAGTTTAAATACAGTGGTGGCTTATCAACGTGCCAAAATTTTATCATTAAACATTGCAAATTCTGAAAGTGGAACGGCGACGCACGTTGCCACAATCAGCCATACCGTTTCTGTAGATTTAACAAAAGCAGAACCTGCTGTGATATAGACAGCATAGCATATCGAACAACATAGGATCTGGAATACAAAAAAAATTAGTGATCGCAAAGATAGCATAGAAATTCTAAGGTAATACTAGTAGAATTATTAGATATATGTAAATAATAAGTAAAACGATAGTCAAATGTGGTATACTTGTAACTAAAATTTTCAAATAACTTTTCTATGGTAATTATCAGGAAGCATAACGATACGAACAATGCTTTTTTGTTGAAATTTATATATATATATATATATATATATAAAATTTAAATACTTTAGTGTAATCTGAAAATTGCTAATTAGTAAAAAAAGAATAGAATACTTGTAGTTTGATATTATATATTCTTTATCTAATTGTTTAATTCTATTTTTATATTGTGAAAAATGTTGTAGTTATATTTAATTCAACGGACAAATATGAAATGATAGCTTTGAATATTAATTTTTTCTACTACTACATGTATATCTTTCAAAATTATGAATACAACATTTTTCACAAAAAAAGAAAATACAAGAAATATTCTTTCACAATATTAAAAATATAAAATTAACCACTTCAAATTAAAGTATAAAGCAGTAGCTGTGTTAATGATAAAAGATTGTCAAAAAATAAAAAAAAATATTTAATGAACAATAATGAAATCATAGATTTTAGTTTTATGTAGTTCGTGTAATGAGAATAACAAATATATTCTTACATAATTGAGATTATCGGCATAAGAATTTAGTGAATATTTTTCAGTCGATACAAAAAGTTCTTTATTTCGCATTAAAGTATAATATTAAAATGTGTAAAATATATCATAACAAATTTTTCTTTTACAGAAAATCCACACGTAGTATATTGTTAATTATACGTATTAAAAGTAGTTACGTTTTCAGTTAAACTTTTGCCAAAGACATTTATTATTAATCGTTTATAAGAGCATATATTATTAATATGATTATACATATTTGGTTTAAATTGAAATGCATAATATGAAAAATTAGGCAATTATCCTTACACGTCATTTGATACTATGAAATATATAATATTTCTATATGCAATTAAATTTTAATTAATGATATGTAAATATAATAATTGATGTTGGTAAGTAGATTGTCAATAGTAATATAGTACTAAAATAATAAGTAGAATTTAATATTTAAACATATATTATTGTTGATTTAATCTTGACATGGTGGTTAAATAAATAAATATCTCTTCATAGTTTATTAGAAAGGATCTGTTAAAATGGTACCATTAATATATTATAGTTCGACTGAGAAGATAAAATATACTTTTCTGGGAATGTTATTGAACAAAGGAAATTTTCGTTAAATATTTTATTAATGATTACAAAATTGCCCTGAAAAAAATTTATAAAAATTAAATAAAAAAAGAAAATATATTGTGCTGTGTGTACAAGCATTTTTCATTTATTAATAGGATATTACATAACTCAAAACATAGTTTAAAATGTTACTAAAATATTTTACTTAACGATCTATATTTCTATATTATTCATATGAAAATAAAAAAGATAATCGATGTATTTATTATTTTATAGATTAATAAATTTATAAAAAAGGAAATCTTTTTAAAATTATCAATTTTTCAGTTATATTATATTATAGAGCATTATTATTTAGTAAAATGTAAATACATGTTAAATGATTTGTGAATGAGTTTATGAATGGGAATTCAAAAAAAAATTAAAGTAAAATATTTCTTGTGTATTCAGAAAAACGATAACTATAAACAAAAAATAGGAGGTAAATAAAAGTATAAGTAATATTTTATTTTGTATTTCCCAGCTTTTCTTATTTAATGTAACATAATAAAGTCGATAAAATAAAATAAAAATCTAAATGAATATTGGAAAAGCAGATTATTCTAGGTGTTAAATTTTAGAAATGATAATTAGGTACTTTTATTATTATTATATTATCCTTTAAGACAACTACTTATACGTATATGTATATGAAATACATATTACAAATTAAACAGAATAATCAATAATTAGAATAATTATAGGTATACAAATAAAACAGAACTTAACATACTGTTTACATTTATCGCTAATTTAAATTTATTTTATTCTTCAAAATTTTGCTCCAATTGTGCATTAATATTACCTCTTGTCAAGTGTAAGTGGAAACATTGTGACACAATTTGTAGTTTCTTTAATAATGTTGGATAAATGATAAATGCACCGGGCATCCTGCTCAGCTTATGCTGGAACAAGATGGATTATTAGCAATAATTTATATACGAGAGCAATAAAACAATATATTATAGAACATATCTACTGTATCAATAATATAATTTCCAGCATTTTCTTGGAAGAATGTTACGAAATATCTATAAAATTATATAAAAATAATATAAAACGGAATATATTATTGTAGAAAGGCGCGCAATCTATCTCTCTGTCTCTCTCTTTCTCTCATATTAATATCATTAAAAGTTTTTAAAATTAAATTGGTTTTTTTTCAACGTTTTGATTATACGTGACATAAAATTTGTACATAAAAACACGCGATGCGGTGAAAAACAATTTAATTATATAAATGGTCGTTTTCTTAGAAACCCTTGCCACGTGTTACATACAGTAGGTATAGATATTCTATTTTGTAAATAAAATAAGTATCATTGAATTATATACCTGCAATTCCAGCAATTGCTTCCGAAGCAAAATATTTCACGTCTACATCAGTGTCAGTATTCAATTTGTCAAGAATAGGTTTTACTTGTGTTTGAACTGCAGAAGGTTCTAGATAGGGTCCGATCCGTTGTAATGTTTTAGCAACATTAAATCTAACATTTGCAACATTATCAGTTGCCATTCCTAAAACCGTTGGTAGCATTACTTTTGTCGTTATTTCTGGACCACATACTTCAGCCAATACCTAAAAGAAGAAATCGTTAATTTAACAATACCATTACAAAGACCGATATGGAAAGCATTTGATAATATATATAATAATATAATAATATATATTATTCTGTTATATAATAAAAATTTAAAAATCCAATTTACATTAATACAAAATAAGCATGTCATCCTATGAAGATAATTCTGATCCCTGGACATTGCTAATACTTTAGGTATAACGGTATTTTGTGCCCATTCAGGTCCAAATTTTTCTACTAATTTTTTCAAGTTCAATGTCGCCGCTTCCCTAATAGCATAAACATGGTCTACAAGCCAAGTCATACATAAAGAATTCAATTTCTCATCAAAGAATTCAACTCCCAATTGACCAGCTAAGAGAGGCATATACCTAAAAAATATATTTTTTTTTAAATAAAAAATTTAAAGTGATTTTAATTATTTGAAATGAGATAAAATATCATTGATCGAATACTTACTCAATAATGGCTAATCTAACTCGCCATTTAGAATCTTCTGCTAATTCTACAATGGCTGGTAAAAGTGACAGTGACAGCTGTTGTATACCTATAACTTCATTAACACATTCCAAGTTGCTGATAATGTTTAGACGAACCTCAGGACATTCATCTCTTAGTTGAGATAAGAATAGAGGTAACAAATGTTCGATCGTGCTATAAATAGAAATTGTATGTTTTAAATACTTAAGATTAGCGATGCTTAATCTAGCCGATTAAAATTATGCTCATGCTTACTTATGTTTGCCAAGTATTGGACTAAGCCCCATTATGACACTGGCTAAAGCTGATTTAACATGTTGATTAGGATCTGCTACAAGTTCTTTGACTATAGGTAAAATATTACCCATAATAATAATTTCATGGTACAACTGATCAAGATTTTGACAAAAATCGCGAACTTTATCAGCAGCCGCTGCTCGTACTTCCGCTTCCATATCCTTTAATAATACTTCAAATGCGGGTACAAGATCTGTTCTTGTAATTTCTGGTCCAACTGCTTTCTGGAGCTATGAAATTATATTATTATTAAATTATATCATTAGTTTTTAATTATAAGTAATAAAATATGTGATAAAAAAATAATGAAAACATACATCAGTAAATTTATCTGCAACCATATATCGTACACGCCAAGACTGGTCGCTGGCACACTGTCGAAGCGTTGGCATAACTAATTGTTCAACATCTTCTGGTTGTAACAAAGCTGCAATACTGACACACGCTTCAACTGCTAAAAGTCGTACCGAATCCTAAACATAAAACATTTTTTCAATTTGCACAAGTAATCCATAATATCTTATTTATACATGTATTGAAAATACTTATAGTATTATTACTTATATATGAATGAATACGTTTACCTGTTCATCTTGAGCAAGAATAACAAACATAGGGATTAAATCTGATTTTAAGTATTCAATTTCCACAACTTTAGCAAACTCTCCTAATTTAGAGGCAGCAGATCGTCGTGCCATCGGCGTATCATCTTGACATAGATTGCGGAAATGGTTTCGTAAACTTGCTGTAATTTTAGAAAGTATGCATCAAATGGTAGACAATATAAAACATTACGATAGAGAAGAAAAATAAATAAAAATAAAAATGATATAAAAAATATTAATTACCTTTAATAGTTGGACTAACACGTGGATAACATACACTAAAAAGTCCACAAGCAGATGTTCTTGACGTAAACCAATCTCCGGATGCCAAGCGTTGGACCAAAGGAACAAAGTGTTCTTCAAGATCAGCTGGACTATGTTGGCTGGCAATATTTCTTAAAGATTCCACTGCCTTATCGCGAACCACAGTTTCTTCGACCGTAGCTAATGATTCTAAAGGTGGCTATATAACAAATTGATATATTATATATATTTACATTTTATTAATAACATGAAAATATATTTTCTAATTACCGACTTTGTTTATATCAATAAAAACAATGTCATTTACCAATAAACAATAAACGTATTCCGGTCCACCAACGAGAGGTGTGAATGTACCAAGCTGTTCTGCCAATGCAAGAAGGACTTCATCCTCGTCGTAGATAGTTTCTGTTAAAAAAGGTATCAGCTCGCTACGAGTCCTTTCAATACCTAATGCAAGAGCAATCGTAGACAGTTTCTTGATAGAATTTAGACGTAACTGTAAAATAAAAAAGTGCACAACAGAATGAAAAGCTTTTAATGTGAGATACACTGATACTTGTATATTAATACTCGAAGTTTAAAAGATATAGAAGGATTTGATAAGTATTTGGAACATTTAGATACACCTGTTTGCACTTACCTGAACATCCTCATTCTTTAATTCATCAATTAAAACTGCAATCGGATACAGACTATCATCCGTATTAGAATCACTCGCTGCCATTTTGCTACCGACTACACTTTAGTCGTATCGCTTTAGCAGTTTTACCAGTATCACTTGCTGATCGTTCGTTAAATGATTTTGTTCTTAAAACAATCTGTTTCTTCGGGATATACTGTGCCACGTGAGATGCAACAAAATGGAAAAAACTTCCAACGATTCTTTATAAGTTATAGCATAATTGACGAAGAGTAGCATTAATTAATATACGATCGAAATATACCCCGACCTATTCCGCGACTCCATGAATCACTAACAATTATTATATTTGTTGGAGTTACCACTAGATGGGGACTAGATCACCCTCAAATACCACCATTACGAATACGTATATTTAGTCTATCTTAAATATACACACTTATGTACGAAGAAGGTAACGCCGCCTGGTGTCGCAAAGATCAATAAATATCTTTCAGATCATTTCTTATAGTTTCATATAGTTTATGCTAAGGGTAGCCTAAGCCGAAGAGTATTCTACTCTTTAAGAATTATTTGCGTCAGCAACTGTTAGTTCTTTTCTTTAAATCTACACCTAAGATTTTATCATTCATACGTTTCGGCTAATCAAAGGTGGATATCTTGACAAGTTATTATGACATTAAAAAAGTGCATATTCACATGTCATTATAAAAGAAATAAGATTGATTATTGAAAGCCGTTTTGATTTGTATTCAAGAGAAAATCACTTTTTTTTGGCGTAGTATTGGCGTGCGTGTCAAATCTCGCCAACTATTTCCGGAATAGAATTAAGCCGCAAAATAAAACGTGACGTTTACTATCGGAACTATTCTCGAGGCGTATTGTATATGTTTTTCACCTTTAAAGAACAAGGAGTATTGATAACCCACGTAAAGAATAATATCACAGGTTGCATATTTGGTGGTTATATCGAGCTATACTGCGTCGTAAGAGATATTAATATTCTGGCTAAAGAATTGTCATAGGCAATCGATTAGAAGGGTTTCATTCTCCGCGGAGAAGATGGGCCTGACAATAAGCAGCTTGTTTATCCGATTATTCGGTAAAAAACAAATGAGAATACTAATGGTAGGCTTGGATGCAGCTGGCAAAACAACTATTTTATATAAACTTAAGCTTGGTGAAATAGTTACAACTATACCAACAATTGGTTTTAACGTCGAAACTGTAGAATACAGAAACATCTGTTTCACGGTTTGGGACGTTGGCGGACAAGACAAGATCCGACCACTTTGGAGGCACTATTTCCAAAATACTCAAGGTCTAATCTATGTTGTGGACAGCAATGATCGTGAACGTATTGGAGAAGCTGAACGTGAATTAGCAAACATGTTAAAGGAAGATGAACTTCGAGATGCTGTACTTTTGGTATTCGCGAATAAGCAAGACTTACCGAATGCTATGTCTGCTGCTGAACTTACAGATAAATTGGGCCTTAATTCCCTTCGTGGACGACATTGGTATATACAAAGCGCTTGCGCTACGCAGGGCCATGGATTGTATGAAGGGCTCGATTGGCTAAGTACTGAATTGGCTAAAAAGTGATACCATGTAGTACGTTCAATTGTGTCATCACAGACAATATCTTCATTCAACATCAATGTAGAACATAATTTACGGTTTCTTATTTTATAAGGCTACACTTATCTATAATTAAGAGTATATATATATTGATACAGTACTATGTACTTTTCAAAACTATTGTGAATACAATTGAATTAAAATGAAGACTTTGCAAGATAATTACAAATATACTGAATCTTTTAATATCTCAAATCAATGCGCATCTTGGTCTAAAAATAAAATTTATCTTGCTAATACAAAGGTAATTCATTTATAGAAATATAATATGTCTGTGCAAGCAACCTACGGACATATACAAAATCTCTTGTAACATTTGTTTCATTGATATCTATATTTGTTATTTTTTTGGTATTACACTCATGAGCAAATCACAGCACTACGATGAAAAGAAGGTTTACAAAATATGTACAGGAATCGTTCTATGTTCTCGCCATATATTTTGCTTTTTCAAAATGAAAAATATTCAATAGATTATATTTAAGATATATTAGTTTAAAATATATCTCGTTGGGTAATGAAATTATTCAGAATTTATAACTTCATTTCTTTTTTTGAAACACCTATTGTTTATATTATAAGGAATATGCTTGTAAATGAATAATAAATATGAAAAAAGTATTGTAAACCATAGCTCACAAATTTATTTTGCTTTTATATTTAATGGATATGACAACTTTCCCTATTACATGCATTAATTATTAAAAAGAGAAATGCCTCAAAACTAATCTCGTGAACTAACTGAACATATAACTTTATTATTGTACAAAACAGTACTACATTGGACATACAAATACTGTGTATAATATAATACATCACACGTTTTTTAGTATGTGGTATATTATATTTCATAAAGCTCTATTCTGTGTCTATTCCATAAAGTAAATAATTTACAAAAGAAAAAACTAGTAAACATTATGTACACTGTTCTTCAACATATAATGGAACAGACTGTTTTTAATGCAATTCTTGCGATTACACTTTATATAATGCACTATTCTTAATTATATTTTATCATATTCTTTAGAAATTACAGTTCACGGAAATTTGTTATTAAAAAAAATAATTTTATTTTTATATTATACCAATAAAAATTAATAAACTTCCCTCTTTCTTCTCTCTCTCTCTCTTTCTCTGATGTTATTCGCGCATAGTAATCGCATTTAACCAAGTGGCAGCTATGTAACTTAAGAATTAACCATTTAGGCTTTAACAAACAGTTAATCTTTATCATATATAGAAAATTTTCTGCAACTTGACTGGAATAAATATCACTCGTTTAACTGGAAAGTGCAACATAATCAAAAGTACTTTTCGTATCAATATGATTCCAAAGAAAAGACAAATTGGAATAATGCATACATTTACATGACTTTACTAAATCATCTATTTTGAAATGTCCATAATAATCGAAACTCATTTGCGTACCCACGTATTCTTATTGGGACCTGTATTACTTTTACCAAGCACTGGAAAATGATTTTCTAGCGTATGATTAGCCATATGTGTTTGGAAATCCGAATGTTTTAAAATTTGGTTACATGTTGTACAAATCTGTAAACCTTTAACTTTATTACCCAGTTCTTTATGGTAAACTTTAAACAGTTCTTGTTGCTTTGGAATATCAGGTAAAAGAACTAAAAGCTCAGGAAACACATCTTCAACTGCTGTTTTACCCATAACGGTACAACAATGTGCATAATATTCTTCAGCACTGCAAACACCTTGTCGAAATAACCCACTTATATAGCGGAATTCTTCAATCCGATCTTGTTCCATTAATACTTCATTCATTTTAGCTACAAGAGATTTATTCCGTTTTTGAAAATCAGGTGGAAGAATATAAGTGTATAAAGTATTGTGCTTATAATCGTCTGGTAAAATGGCATAGCTTTCACCAGAACTGTTTGTAAATGTCAACCCATTGTTACTATGCAACTGTTCCATATTTTCAACTTTAATACAGAATCCTGGAGGTGGAGATGTAGTAGATTCAAAGCCAGGTGGAGGATCTATAAAACCTGGCGGCTTAGAACCGCTACTACCCAAAGCTGGAAAATCTTCCATTTGATGGACATTATTATTGGTAGAGTTAAGACTGTCTATTTTAAGTTCAGTACGTTTTCTTAATATGTTGTTACTTTTATTACTAGCTCCAGAACTTGTTTTTACAATTACTGCACAAGAACCTTCTTCTAAGCTTTTACATTTCTTTTTATCCTTTTTATTTGTATGTTCAGCTTCTTTAGAATGTTTAATATTGTTAGAATTTTTTATACCGTTATATGTATCATTGGATGATCGTTCATTCTGTTTGTCATTGCTATTATGTTTAGCAGAAGTTTTTAATAAATTGTCATTGCAGATACTAATTGTATCATGTGTTGATTCTAAAACCTGAATTGAACCAGCAACGTCGCTAGTACTAGATTCACCATTTTTCTTAACATCAGTATTAATCTTACTTGGTTTTATATTATTAGTCTCATTTACATTAGAATTGTGTTTTGCCTTTTTCTTTTTTGTTTTTCCTTTTACTGATTCTGCAGTGGTTTTGATATTATTGTTAGAAATGCCAGAAGATTGAGGTTGAGCTCTTGGTGGAACAACCATTATTGCAGATTGTTTATTTTGCTTGGATGATTTAGATAAGCTTGGAAAGTCCTCTCCAGATTGTATAGGTGGTGGAGATGGTGCTAATGATCGAACTGTTTTCTTTGATTTTGGAGTAACTGCAGACGAGGACTTTGTACAAGTCCACTGTAAGACCTCTTTCCATTGAGCTGAATTAGGAGTACTGGTAGAGGGTTTATTACAGCCCAAGACTGGAAATTCAGAATCTACAGATAATTGTGCGGGTCGAACCCTAACATTAGGTCCAGATACTCTAGTGGTAACTGTACCATTAATTTCACGATTCACTTGGATAGAGACATTGGGTGTTGAGCCTTTCCGACTTTGTGGCACATTTGATCCAACTAAATTAGCACTGGAAACACTAACGTTAACGGTTTTAGAAACATTAGCATTAGTAGATTCAGGACCCAATGCAGGAAAGTTTTCATCTGTGACAGCCAATGATTGAGGTCTTACAGTACTACGAATAGTTACATTACCTCTACCTTTAGTAGGTTGATTTAAATTAGGTACGAAAGAGCAATTGCCTAAAGTTGGAAATTCTTCTCTACTTTGAACATCGACAGATGGCTGTTTAATGAAAGTAGCTGGAGATTCAACATTAGTTTGAGAATTGCTTGCACTAGTTAATGCCGTTGGTTGTTGATATTCTCTTGAATTATGATCTCTAAATCCATAATCTCTTGTACTTTTGGAAGTCGATGGTCCTGTCATACCTCTTCTAATTCTGTTCTCGCCTCGAGGTGCCAAAGTAAACTCTAGCTCCAAAGTTCTAGCTTGTTTAGCTGCAGCTTTGCTTAATTGTTTTCCATGAACACTCGTTTTATGCGCTTTTAGGTCTATATCGGTTCTAAAGACACTGGTAAATTTTTCATCTATACACATTCCTTCTTCACATAGGAAATGTTCTTGCCTAAAATGATCTCTAAGGTACTCATATGAGCTGTAATATTGGTGTAAACCATCTGCATCACAGAAATGACAATATAAATGATCTCGTCTCAAGTGACGATACAACTCATCATTATCCATATATCTTTGATCACAAAATTCACAAAGTGGATGACCTTTGTGACTCCTGTCATCTATATCGCCTTTTCTTCGATGCTGAGCAAGATCCGATCGTGTGTAACAGCGTCGTTCGCAAGAAAAGATCTTTAACAAATTGAATATAAATAATTACATATAGAAAATGGTAAGCTTAAAATAAGAAAAATTAAATACCTTTAAATTTTCCACGCAAAGATCGCAATAATGAAGCTCGTGCTGATGTCTCATATGGTCTTTCAAACTTTGAAAATTACTAAAGACTTTTTTTTCTTCGCAAATGGTGCAAATGTCAACTAATAACTCATAAAATTTCTCTTGTATATCAATGGTGTCAAAGAAAATATCATATCGCGTGTCCAATAAACCACCTTTTCGAAGAAAACGAAAGGGTTTTATCTCTCTGGTAAAAACAACTTTTGGTAAATCTTGACGACAAATAGGACATTCATTTTGTCGACAAAGCACTCTCATTCGTGTACTACATTCATAACATACGGGATGTTCACACATCCCTATACTATAAATTTCCACAGTTTTATAACATACAACACATGTATTAGTATTTACATTTTCGTTACTCGCAGACATGCTTACTGATGTAATTAAGATATGTTCTGTATATATCTATTACAATTTTGTTAACCACTATGATGGTTTAATTACAAAAAGAAGACGATCCTTCTTGAATAGTTTAAACGAACGATTTATTATATGATTTATACAATTGGTCATATCATGAATGGTTCTGAAAAATAAATATTCTTATTAAAATATTACCCAAGAAAATGATGTTTCAAAAAGAAATATATTACACGATTATTTCGAGGATGTTTATGTTGAATACGAAAATTTGCAAAAACTGGCTTAATTTAATACAAAATGCATATATATATATATATATATATATATATATTGCATGTATGTATGTATGTATATGCATATATGTGCGTATATATATTATGATGAGATTATTTCATTCATTAAGATACAAAAAAAAATTAGTTGAAAACTTTAAAAATTTGCGTAAATGATTTCGAGATAACTGCCTTATGAAACAATAATTATCTTTATTCTTAGAGAAGTCCAAAAATAGATAATGAATCTAAAAAAATTGGCAGCAAACAGACGGTAAAGTTGTTCGGTAAAATTCTTAAAAAGACAAGGTTATAAGCACTCACAAGACAAAATCTAAAGATTATATCTTTTCCTATGAAAAAGATTCTAAAGAACTGAAGAGCGAATCGTTTTGGAAGATGCGTACGCTGGACGGCTTCTTATTTTCTGTAAGCTTCTTGACGTATTTGCGATCTATACTAGATCTTGGCCACTTTACTCTACGTAACAAAAACCAGACAGAAATTACTGTGCAAAACCGGAAATCTGTAAGAGGCTCCTCACCTCCATCCCCTTCCTTTGTATATACATGCATATACAAGCACTATATATGATTGACACAACACAATAACACATTTGGAAAATGCAATGAGTATAATAAAACATTTTATAGTTATTACACGCTCATGTAAATCATCCCGATTATTAATTTTCATTTGTTAACGATTATTAATTTTCTTATTCATTTCATTTCCAACCAATGAATTATATCGATCAACTATAGATTTTTTCTAGATAAATTTAATCTAAGAAATCTATTTATATTTATAAAATATGTGAATATATATAAAAAGTATAATATATTATAATTGTACATTTAATAAAATATCTTTTGATATATAATTTTTTAACGTTAATAAATATTAATCTACCGATATATAATAGAAATAAGAACTTATGATTATTATCTTATGCAAAATAATATTAGAAATATTTAAATTTACCGCCATAGTAGTATATTCAATGCCTATTTCCGTTTACTTTTTGATCGACTTTACTCGATCAGGGTTGTAAACCTAACGACCTAAAATTTTTACGACAGTAAATCATTGTAACGTATCGTAGTAACATAAATTTATATTAGAGTTTCCTTTCCATAGAAAATTGTTCCTTTATAAGTCTGTCAAAATAGCGGTAAAGAGTTGTTTATGTTAAGCCTTGGAAGAGTTCGTGTCTCCATTTCGACGATAGATGAAAGAAATTATTCTATTATCTAGAATATGTCACAACAAACAGCTGTTGTACAAACTAGTACAGGATCTGATATAACACCTGTTCTTGGAAATTTGCAATCTGTTGGTCCCACTAATCAAACGTTACCAGTTATGTCTACTATACAAAGTAATAACACAGTACCCATTTTACAATCACAACAAACACAAAATCAACAATCTCAGTATACGTCTCAAGCATCAAAACAGCAAGTAGCACAGCATTCATCCGTATCGAGTTCTTGTAATGACTTTCCACAAGTATGCCTATTCAAAAAATATTCATTTGGATGAAGGTAATGTAATAAAAATATACTAATTGTATGTATTCTTTTAGTTCCTTACCAAAACACGTTTACAAGATTTAGTAAGAGAGGTAGATCCAACTGAACAATTAGATGAAGAAGTAGAGGAAATGCTTCTACAATTAGCAGATGATTTTGTAGAAACAACCGTAAATGCAGCATGTCTTTTAGCTAAGCATCGTCACGCAAATACAGTGGAAGTCAAAGATGTACAACTACATTTAGGTAAGTTTATATGGAAACTTTTATTGTGCTTTTTATTATTTAATAATATCATTTGTTTATATAATATTAATTGAACTTACAGAAAGAAATTGGAACATGTGGATACCTGGTTTCGGTACAGACGAGGTTCGTCCATACAAGAGAGCAACGGTAACAGAAGCACACAAACAAAGACTGGCGCTAATACGAAAATCCATTAAAAAATATTAAATTTCTTATGGTTCCTATATATGTAAAAAGAAAGATTATAGTAGCTTACTTTCAATCAAAAATTTTATACTTATATACATTCATGTGTTGGCATATGAATTGTTAATATATGATCCATTACATTAATATGAGATTATAACTGTTAAATTACATCCTTTCATGACATTTACTTGCACGTTATTCCTACTTGAACATTGAAACATTAACTTTATATCTTTTACTACGGATAATAATAAAAACAGCTCATTGTTATAGATCAATTAAGCCTATTTAGAGAGATATTCCGTAAAAATAACAATTATATATAGAATTCTTCTATAAAATAAATAAAATTTATCACATTTTATTAGATTATTGGTTAAAATAATATTTAATTTCAAGAATATATACAATGGTATATATTATGCTAAGCATATGAAATCCTATTGGTCGATCGCTTCGAGAACTTGAATATATCGAATGTATCGAAATAATAACGTATATCGATATAATCGATTATACTAACATTGCAAGAACAGGAAGTGTCTTTCTTCGTGATCATAGTCACTGAAAGGAACTAAAGTAAGTATATCGTTATTATTTATTAGCTTATTTTTACAAATGTATCCAATATTAAATGTAGAATTACTTTTTTGTTATTACTTCTTTAATATTTATGATCGATTTCTATTAAAATTTGATTAATAAAAAAGTTGTAGAAATAATAAAATGCAAATATTGAAAACGCCACGTGTTAAAGTATATTTGGTTGGTTATGTTCTTTGCGTCTTTGCCTAAATTCGATATGTGAATTTAATTACAGAATGGCGGACACTGCTCCAGCCGCTCGTGGAGGTTTTCGTGGAGGTTTTGGTACTCGTGGTGCTGGTGGAGATCGCGGAGGCCCTCGAGGTAGAGGACGTGGTGGAAGAGCACGGGGACGCGGTCGTGGTCGCGGCAAAGAGGATAGTAAAGAATGGATGCCTGTTACCAAGTTGGGCCGTTTAGTTCGAGATGGAAAGATTCAGTCTTTAGAACATATTTACCTCTTTTCTTTACCTATTAAAGAATATGAAATCATTGATAAATTTCTTGGACCTGATCTTAAAGATGAAGTTCTGAAGATTATGCCAGTCCAGAAGCAAACCAGAGCAGGTCAACGTACCCGTTTTAAGGTAAGAACATTACACGATTATTTCCATATTTTTTGGTTTATTCTGTTTTAATGTTATAAGTTAAATGATTGCTTGAAAATTTTCTAGGCCTTTGTAGCTATCGGAGACACCAATGGTCATATTGGCTTAGGAGTAAAGTGCTCCAAAGAAGTAGCTACTGCTATCCGAGGTGCTATTATCTTAGCCAAACTTTCTGTAGTACCTGTACGTAGAGGTTATTGGGGAAATAAAATTGGCAAACCGCATACAGTACCTTGCAAAGTTACTGGAAAATGTGGATCCGTACAAGTGCGCTTGATCCCTGCACCCAGAGGTACAGGAATTGTGTCAGCACCTGTTCCTAAAAAACTTTTGCAAATGGCTGGTATTGAAGATTGTTATACATCTGCCAGAGGGTCTACTTGCACTCTGGGTAATTTTGCTAAAGCAACATATGCTGCTATAGCTAAGACTTATGCTTATTTAACACCAGATCTATGGAATGAACAGCCTTTGCTTAAAGCACCATATCAAGAATATGCTGATTATTTGTCAAAACATCATAAAGCTGTAGCAGGTCAACGAGCTGCCGAAGCCGTTTAAACAATAAACTTTTATTCAATGAGAGCCTCTTAATTGCTGTTGTTATTATTTTCATGTATCACCTCGCCTTATATTTTTAATGCAGAATAGTGTACTGTGATCTACTATTCATGTTTAACGAAATTTTATGAACAAGTAGAACTCTTTTCAAAACAGAATGGTAAGATTACTTAGTCTTATTTCATTATTTGATTACAAACATAATTATCTAATTATAAGTGAAAGAAAACCTTAAATTAATATTTACAACCAAATATATGAAGAAAAACTAAACTATAATATTATGTATTTTCTGAGGACAGATTTTTGGAACTTCTATATTGTTTATATGTTTGATTGAAAACTTCTAAAGTGTGGTCGCAAGCTTTTTCTAAATCTTGAAGTCCACGTTTTAATACATCTGTGGCTCGTCCTGTTTTAGTTTGTATCCTGAAGTTAATTTTATTTTCTGCTGGATGAGGTACAGTATATCCGCAAAATGTCACTTCAGCACTAAAATAAAAAAAATAAAGATAAATAACTTTTAAATATTCAATAATTATTTCCGATGAATATTGCTTTAATATTTAAGCAACATAGCTGTTCAAAATACGTACTACTGAGTTATTATATTTTGTAATGCATTTCCCAATGTATGACCTTCATTTGAAAATATAAAAGTTCTGGACTTTTCTCCATGTACTTGATCGCCAGCAAGCTGCCACAAATAAATATAATATTAGTAGAAAATATTTATTTTATTGAGTTAAAAACAATATATAAATTAATAAATATTTTTGCATTTTATACCACTACAAGTCGTCCCATTCTTGCCACGCGATTTCACGTAATATATTTATATTAAATGAACAGTCAGAACACGCGTTTATATTTTTTACTTTGAATACGATATTGGTTAGACATGCAGTATTCCAACGAATTTTACGATACGTCGATCGTCACACCACCTATAATAATACCATCAAATAAATGCGAAAATCTTCTAGTTTCTAGAAATTTGATATAGTTCCTTTTTACAAAAGTGATTGTGAAAAGAGGGGTTGAAAATTTTAACTGCCTAGTAGTGGTAGATATGGTTGAGTCTTATTAAAAACAGCAGGTGATTAACAATAAAACATTGATTTTACAAATTCTGAATAAATATGTCATACAAAGTCGGTCAACGCGTTGAAATACCCGGTAAAGATTGTCAAGGTATAATTGCTTATATTGGTTATCCCACATTTGCAACTGGAAAATGGATTGGTGTAATACTTGATGAACCAAAGGGAAAAAATAATGGCACTGTCAAAGGACAGCAATATTTCAAGGTTTTTATTATTTATCTATTATCTTAATATGTACAAATCGTACAGTTACTTTTTATAAGATTTATATGAAAGTAATATTGCTAATATTATTGTTACTTTAAGTTAATATTATTAACATATTTTAGTATTCTATATTGATGTTATTAGTGTCCAGATAATCATGGAATGTTTGTACGACAAACACAAATCATCCTGTTGGATGAATCTGGTAATAGAACAGATCTTGCCAGTCCATCTTCGGCAGGTAGCAGTGCTACAACACCTGATGAAGGCAGCGCAGTCAGAGCTAGAAGCCGTCTTAATAGGTTTGCGCTTTTACATTTTTATTATTTACTAATACAATTTAAATATTATGATATATATATGCAAAAACTATATTTCACGTTTTATATTTCTTCTTATAAATCAAATAACTTTTGTCTAAAATATTCCATTCTATTTATGAAGATAAATTCATCATTCGACAATCAAACTTATATTTAGGTGCCCTATGCTGTATACTATCCCTGATTAATTTTTATATGATAGAAATGTGTTTATATGGATATCTGCACATGTTTGTATATGTATGATATAATTCCCCAAGTAGTTATAGAAACATACATAGATTTATGTAATCAAATGTGTAGATAGTTCAATTATTAATCGTATAACATAAGAGCACACTTTTTATTCTTGAATCTTGTTATATTCTTTAATCAAATAATTTTTTATTTACCTTTATATAATAAGGATAAAGCTTTGTCTTTTTTATGCTAGCATGAGTATGCGTCGAAGGAATGAACCTACAGCGTAAGTTTATATCTGCACTTTAAAATAAATTCCATTATTATATATTCGATTTCTTAACTAGCATATCAAATCTAAAGTCTTTAAAGAATATCATTAAAGTTTTACATCATACAGGATTCACCTATATTTTACTATTATAAACATAAAATTTATTACATATTCATTATATCATAAAATTCATTGCACGTATTTTTATATTACTATTTGCAAAACAATTTACACCAATTATAATACTAATTACCCTTTTGGATATATTAATGTAACATTAAAATGTATATGCTGCTCACAAAAGAGTACGGAGAAAAACATCTCCAGCACAGATTAACCGACAACAGAGTGACAGACTTTCGGGGTAAGGAACTGTAAAATGAAGTGTCTCAATTATTGTATTTTAACGTTTCCATTATTTGATATAGTTTGATATATTTTATCTATGTAAAATATAAGGCATACATGGTCTCCTAAAATAAATAAATAACTAAAAGCATTCAAATTTTTGGTAATCAACTAAGGAGACAGTGCATGCATTATTATTCACGTAAATCATGAAATCCATTACTTTTTATTCTTATCTAAATTGAACATTTTGTATTTATTTTTATTAATTTTATGGATATGATTACTTTATTTTTTTGTATTATTTACATTTATGTTCATTGTTAAGCACATTATTAATTGAAATAGTCATTAGATTTTTATTTTATTTTTGAATGAAAAGAGATGTTTAGATATATAAATTGTAGATAAATTAATTAATATATTTATAGACACAACTGAAGCTTCTATATATATTTATTTATACCAATATTTGTTTGATACATTTTTAGCTGCATTCACTATTGGTCTGCATTGTAATTATTCTTATTAATTATCAAATTAAATTTTTATATTTGGGATTACAAATGTATAGTGAATATATATTATGTATATATTTTGATGTATATACTACAAATATTATTATTTGTTATAGTTCTCGATTATCTTTGGTTGGCAGTAAAACACAGTTCAATACCTCATGCACTGAAAATGTGCCAGGATCTCTGCATGAGCGTAAAGATGGTGGCGAAACACTCATACCAGCTCCCACGACAACTAAACGAGCATCATTTATCGAGGTATTAATTAATTAATATAAAAATGAACACTACCAATGGTATAAGTTATATATAGCTTGGAGTGTCTAAACTAAAATATGCTTTATATGTAAAGAACAATTCATTTAATACATTTAATTAGGCAGAGGTGGGAAATCTTTCCAATATATGTCTTTTTAATTATAATATATTTAGTTGCAACTTTTTCCAAACTGAATTCAAAGTCTTCAAATATGTTTGTACGTTGTTATAAGTACAGTGACAGATGTGTAGCAGTGGTAGTAAGAAGAAAATATTATTGTTCTAATTAATTAATTGTCTAATCAGGGGCATATACACTTAACACAAAATTACTATTAAATGTTTTATTAAATATTTTCTAATAATTTATTCTATTTGTTTAAAAATATTTTTAATTTGACCAGCTTGAAAGTAACATACGTCAACTAACATCTTCCACAACTTAGGTTCTAATTTCTAAAAGAATCACATAGAGAGAGAAAGAGAATGAGAAATGGGGAAAAGATATGGTATTTGAATATATTATATTCGTTATTTTTTTGCATAAAATTTTGCAATTACATTATCTTTCTGTACTCACAAGTCACTGTTATGAAACTTTTTATCACACAGTACATCCAAAATCATTTCTAGCACAAACTATTACATATTATTTTTATATTGAATTTGCTTTTAAACTAAATAATATATATATATATATATATATATATATATTTTATGTCTATTTAGCTCATTATAAATACCATATATATTTTGTATACAAATTTATTGACAATCATGTATTGATTTGTCGATTTGTAACTAATAATTCACTGGATAGTAGGTTCCCCGCCACTGCGATAAGAAACAAAGTTTGAATAATAATACAAAATATCTGGTCAAATAATTTTACATCCCATTAATAAATAAATTTACATTTGAAAATTTGTGTTTTTCTGTAAATTAATTGTATATTAATCATAACTACAGTATACATATTTTACCCTGTGATTCAACAGTAATAAAATAAGTATAGATTTCCATGCATGTGCTTTCATATGGTCAGAGAATTTGAATTTCAAATGGTCTAACATTGAAGCATTTTGACAACTGTATATCACGAGGACAAGTTTAAAGGAATGCACATACGTGTTTCAGAAGTCCCCTAGCACGAGCTCACCTTCCGGCAAAAAGCCAAAGGCCCAAGATGATCACAATAATGTAATTAATACTAATTAATTGTAATGTCTCAGTACTTAACACATCACCTTTCTGCCCCTGTACTTTCTCATACTAGTTGTATGTCAACAATATTCATGATCATAACACATGGCCATAACAATTTTATTATTGCACTTTAATGGATTTTCTTGTATTTACAGATTATAATATTAATTTCATTTAATTCTTTTTCATACTCATCATTTTTCTTTAATTCGCTTAGTTGATTGTGTTTTACGATGGTTAGATGATTTATAGTAAATATACACAAGGATGGGGTATTTATAATTAAACAGTTTTTAAAATTTTACCATAACAACCTATTTTTCTTTAATTTAATCAAAATAATAATATTATTAATAATAATAATGATGATGATAATGATGATGATGATAATGATGATGATGATGATGATGATGATGATGATGATGATGATGATGATGATGGTGGTGGTGGTGGTGGTGGTGGTGGTAGTGGTGGTGATGATAATGATGATGATAATAGCAAAAATGGTGATAATAATGTCAAGCATTATTGTTAAAATTTATCGAACATCAAAATGATACAACGGTGTAATTTTGCTTGACCAGTTACTTTTTTTTAAGTATAGTCATAGGATTAGATATTTAAAATAAAAAAATTATAGACATAATAGCTACTATTGTACTTTATGAAGGAATAGCAAGCCTGCAATATGTCATTAAAACCAATTGTACAGACTGTTCCAAAAGTCATTATCCTCTTAGAAGATGCTACTATGAGTTATAAAAGAAAATAAATAAATGATGACTTTAGGTACATCCTGTTTGGAATCAAAATATTTTTTAGAATTGATAGAACATTTCTTTAGCCCTGATGTGCCTAAAGACCTATTAATAGGATGTCTTTACACTTTATAACTTGTATGGGAATAAAAAGGAATGATAATAATTAATTTAAAGGGCATTAGGCATAACTGGGTTATGTCTTGTTGGTGTCTATTGTCATAACTAATCTCATTAATCGTTTCAAAAAGAAACTAATTCTACTGATTGCATTTGCAAAAACATATCGTTAAACACAAGAGTTCACATATTTGCATCTTAAATCTATAGAATCATTTATTGTTATATCATCATGCCTGGATCATTTTCTTTTCTTTTGCTCAATAAATAAATATTAATAAAAAACAAATAAATTTTATACGAAAAAGAATAATTAGATATAAGATGCAGATATTGACCATAGAAATATTGATCTTTCATTTAGAGTTTAGTGGGTGTTTTTTTCTATTAACACAATATTCTAAAATACTTCATCACTTTTATACTTGCACTATTTACAAATTATCTTGAATAATTGTATGTTGTGCTGCTACTTAGGCCTAAATGATCTGAACATACATTTTAGATAATATTAGATATTTAATGTGATAATAAAAAAAAAACACCCAAGTATAAGCAAAACATTCATTTGAACTTCTTTTCTCTATAATTTAGACAGGCTTTGTTGAAACTCTGAA